TGAATGTTGATACGTATGATAATTAATCGTAAATACCTGAATTGTAATGATTCCTTCATTTAAACACGAAACATACGAAATTGCTTTAAAGCATACCGGTTTAGGGCACGATCACCATTACTATCATCATCAACAACATCAACATCAACATCACCATTTTAGTTGATTTACGTAATGTGGACTCACCGGCTAAGGCTTCCCTGCCCTCAATATTCGCTATAAGCCAATTAACACCTCGAGGTACCTACCTTAGGCTTCCATACCTAGTACCCCGCCACAGTTGCCTTACACGGTTCACACTCATTTGCCTCTCCAGCCCTATGCCCTAAGCGACGTTTCAAATTCGAAACTATTTTTAAAAGTTAGGGAGTAACGACGGCGAAAGATGATGAACACGTCGCAGTTCGAAGACTCATTGAAAGTGCTTCCTTTCCGGCCACTGACCGTCTAACATTCGTCCTTGCGTACATTCATTTGTGTAGGAAGAGAAACGGAAAGACATATAATGTTTTTGCAACGCATGGTTGTTTGGGAAAACCCCAATTACTCCACGAAACACAGAAAGTAACCATTCATGCCCTTGGTAGATTCGAACGCATGACTCTGATCCGGAGCTACATTAGCCATCCGAGTAACCCAGGTCGGACAGTGATTTTAAGGCCACATTTACGAAAATTATTGGTAGCTCATATATTTTGTATTTTTACCAAACAACTCACAGCAATAGACCATCCGCAAAACAGTGAAAAGGATCATTGCGAAAACTTAAAAATTATTTATATAATTACCATAACTTACTTATATGACACCTCAAGAACCTCACAAAGTAACTGCCTCCACATAGATAAGAAATACTGACACAAAACCACTAATCTTTCCAATTTTCTAATACTTTGCATACTGCATAATAGTTTATTCTACTATCAAAATTCGCCACAAAATAAAAAAAATACACAAAAAACACATACCATTTGGAAACGTTGACAGTCGAATACCAGTGTCCTTCTGGAATCTGAAGAACATCAACGGGTGGGGGCTGGTGGTTTATCTCCCGACTCCACAATGAGTTTGGATGTAACTAAAGGAGATTATTAAATTTGAGAACTAATAATACATGTTTTCAGCAGAGTAATATACTGAAATCATGTTCCGCACGTGGTTTTAAATAAAATTTTCAGTGTTCTTTGAGTGTTGCAAGAGCATATACGAGTATATTCTGAAAATTTTCTGTTTTTGTGGCCCTTTGTGAAGGGATACATATGACCACGCCCTTTGCATAATTCGTCTCTACTTAAACAGACCCTGAAATAGGATTTCAGCGTGATTACTCTGGCTGTACTCTTAAGAGAATGTCGGAATTTCCATGAAGCAATTACGTATGACGAAGATATCACCAAGAGTTGAGAGAGGTTCCAATAATAAGGCTCCCACAGACCGTCATGGAAGAGCCGCAGCCAACGCGGTTTGGCCGCAGTAGTACTTTCACCTCCCGTGTTGCTTTATGAGCACGTTTAGACCTGTGCGGCCGGCGAGCGTCGCGGCAGCGGATTGGCAGAGTTTTATTACCTGCGGATTTGACATCGCAGTCGGACGCAATTCGACCGTTTCGTGGAAGTCCGCCTGCCTTCGGGAGTATTCGCTCCATTCTCTCCATTCCCTTGTCTTTTATAATAGAATGAGGAAAACTGTCACCAAACGCTGAGTCGTAGTTGACGCTTCGGTGTGAACGGTCCCGCGGATTCCGCCGCCGCGTCTAGCGCGAAGCGAAGCGTCGCACTCGCTGCGGATCTCTCTTAGTTTAAATTTACAATTATACAATTCGATCATTCCAATTAAATTTTAAATTTTATAGTTTCTATTGTTATATTTATATTTAATTTTTTTAAAAAAGTATGCCATTTCGCCACAAATTGAGCCTCATCTCAAGCTCCTACAGACCATACAATATGCGGCGTATTCGGCAAGGCGGGTTTGCGCGACCCTGAAGGCAATGCTTGGCTCATTGATAAAAATAATTTAAATCCATCATCGGCCTCTGAGTCACTCAGAGTCGTCTTGTCGAACGGAACAATGATAGTCACAGGTACTGACACTACGTGAACATTAGCTACAGCAAGGGTTGCCAGGGCGTTAGCGAAAACAGCGTAGCCAAAACTGAAGAAATTCTTTATTATTTTGGAGGAGCTTTCAGTGCTCGATGGCAGATACTTTTCCCCCCCATCACATATAAATTCCTACAATTGAAAAAGTATCAGGTCAGATTTTAACCTGCTCCTGTCGAAAGATTCCATGAGAGAAAGCGAATTTGGAGACGCACACTGCTCAAGAACAACAAAGAAAATACTTTCGTAAAACACTCCAATACATTTTATCAAAAACTATCTTCACGTGTTCTGTAACAAATTACTAGTACAGTATCAAGCACAACAGTTCAACAATAACGCGTGGATAGAAAACATTTAATGGTGGGTTAACTCCTGCTTGGATTCTTTATGTTGGATGATATCACGTGTGGCGTTAACAGAGCACTGATTATGAGGTTTTAGTCGGTATATGCAGTATAAGGACAGGCGAAATAACACCATGAAAATTTTGCACATTTCAGTCAAAATCATTACTTTTTATTTGTTTTTGAATTTTTTCACGTTCCTGGGCATCTATCGACACCTTACGCATCTCTTACATGTTTGGAAGTTACATAGTATTCGTTCAATACCTGCGCGCATTGAAAATTAGTAATACAAATGTTTGTATAACTAATCATGCTTCAAATTTACATGGCATATCTATAAGTTTTTTGTTTTAATATTTTTCCTACTTAAAACATTGTTTGTGAGGTACCGGAATTCTTCATAAATAAGAAGGCCATTTATTATTTCGAAATGACACAAATTACTAAAAAACACGTATGTAATATATGGATGCGCATTTATTAAAACGCTCATAGCTACAGGTTTGTTTTCTGAGGCAGACCTTATTTTACATACGAGTGCAGTATTGTTCTAATTATTTTAAGTACGTACTAAATGCATTTATATTTTCAAAACCCTGAAAAACGTCGAAAATAAAACAAGAATAAATAAAGATTAGAATATAATTAATGAATTCTCCTGAATCTAATCTTGCGTCGAGCTCACCGTCTGTCATTTATAGTGAGGTACCGGTCGAGGAAGGGAGGCAATGGCGTAATGCCCTGGGGGTTGGAAGGGAGGGGAGGGGAGGGGAAGGGAAAGGTAGGGGAGGGGAATGAAGGACAAAGGAGGTGGGGGAATATGGCCGCGGGCTTTCGTTTCCTGTCCCCTGAGTGCTAATTAGAGCAGGAAATGAAGACGTTTGGCCACCAGAAGCAGAGCAAATACCTGGGATCGGCGGATAAAAGACCAAGAGGCACGATACGAGAGAAATGTTGTCACTAACAAGTTTTCGCTTGTAAAACAAGCGTTAATTGAACAGTAAACCATATGTTTAGATTTAAAATGTCTAGAGTAGTTTATTTTTAAGAATGGTGTATTTAATTAAGCCTTGTTTTAGGAAATTATTACTACAGATATTAGCAAGTTATCCCAAAACCATAAAAATTGTCTTCTCCAACCCTGTTGTACAAACAATCCAGCTGAAAAGGAGCTTGTGTTTATACTAGAAAATAACTAAAATACTTAATGTGCTAAAATGAGAAACTGTAATTATCACTAGACTGCAAACAATTTTAAAAAAGGTTACCATCAATGAAAATGCTAATCACTGGGCAATACGAGAATAATATTATTTTCGCTTTCAAAGGCAAAGTATAAATTATTATTAGGCTTCTTTCCGAAGATCAGTGAGGAAGTTCAATAAACGAAGTGTAGTGTGGAAGTCTTGTTAAATAAAAAAATATAATTTATTTCACTTTCTTTTACCGTTTTTATGTTAGCAGCTACAAAGTGAATCATGTTGTGTATCAGCTGTCGGATTCATTGCCTTTCGGGAAGAAAATATGAAAATATGAATGTCGGCTCAACTATGGAATGAATATTTGCAGAAAAATGTACCAATATCCGTAAATGTATGGCTTCCTTTTTAATCATTATTTAGTCGAAATATTGAAGTATATCAGTCAAGATATTGGTCTCTTGTATGTGCTCTCTGCAAATAAGCAATACTATTTAATGAAATACAGAGTAAGAATATTCTCATATTACCACAAATATAAAAAGTGTTATTGAATTATAGATTTTTTAAATCAAAAATTAAAATTAAGTAGGTTTGATTAGAAAGTAAAAAACAATACACTATATATTATTCAAACGACATTAACTATTACTAATGTTATTGCGAATTGTAGTATTCACAAAGGTAATATATGATATGAAGTGCATAAAATCACATTCATGTTCTTTATTACAGTATGATTCAATTGGTTTTGTCAGGCAGTTTGTCTGTCGACTGTTTGTCCATTCTTATATACTGTATTATTAATGAAATAGGCACACAAAAAAATTTTAGACCCAAACCACTTAGACATATGTTTCTCTCTGTATGTTGTCGCCCTCAATTCGAATCTGGAGCAAAAATTGCACCACCCCCTCCAGTTTTCCAAATCGGAAAAAACACCGTGAAATTGTAAATTGAAAATTTCATGGTGTTTTTTCGCGATTAACAAAACATGGAGTATGGTGGCGCAATTCTGACTTCGGAATCGGATTCAGGGCGTCAACATACATAAAAAAACGTGTCAAGTGTTGGTGTCTGATTTTTTCGGGCTTAAGTTATATTTTAATAGTAGCTGACGGCGCTAGTCATTCTTCGCTAATATCTGCTCTCATACAGCATACTCGAATACAGCAACATTACAATTTTTAACTTCTCACATTAATGCAAATATCTGTGCATTAAATTACTTATAATTGTTCACTTTCGTTAGAACGAAAGATATTATTTTTATTGAAGAGCATTGCCTTAGAATAATAGTATCTATTTACAATTGCCATTACTCATTAATCAGCATGCTATTAATAGATGGTAACATTGCAACAAAATTGATGATTCTTGGACTAAAATATAAAGTTATCTTTACTTCTCAAGCATTTCACAATAATGTTAAAAGTGTAACTGACAAATTATTTTTATTATTACTTGGTTACCATCCCAAAGCTTGCTTCTAACGATACGCATTTGTAAAACGTTTACTAATTCAATAAAATGCGTATGATTTCCAAAACTTATATCGTAATACAATAATATTAGGTTAATTAGTTATAGTGGTTGTTAATATCATTAACAACATTATTGAAATTTTCTTCAAGGATGTTTAAATCCTGTAATAAAAGGTACGCAATTTCACTTAGACTCACATCCACGTGCTGGAAATACATATTTTAAATGTGAAGTTTATTTATTATTAGCTATATGACTTTATTCGAAAATATCATTATACAATTATCTAAAAACCAACATGAGTAATTCCATGTGGATAATAAGTAGGGTAACAATAGGCTTCAAATACCACTGTCCGTGAAGAAAACTTACTTCTCGACTTCGGAATATGGTGGACGTCCGTAGGGTCTAGGATGACTTCCCCAATTGCTGTAAAGCGGCGAAATGTAATAGGAAAATATATAATCTATCGCATTATGCACAGACTGGAAGTACGGCCAGGGATCTTCCAATTCCACAATAATGATGTACTCGTCGTATTCAGTGCTGTTTTCTTGAGTAGAATTAAAAGTGGTGTCATCAAATGCCCCTGTAGTACCGGAGCTGGCGGAACTGGTGTTGAAGTTGTCGGTGGCTGAAGTGGTAGTGCTGGGATTCGAGCTGAGAGTGGTGATATTGGAGGCGTCTTGAGCGGCGGCAGACGCCACAAGAACAGCAACAATCTGGAAGGCGATGCCAACGTTCAAATAATAGGAAAACATACATAGGAAAACACACAATTTCAGTTTCCCTTACCTTATTTTAAAAACTATACATGATTGGTGGAAAAATCATGTTTCATTGAATTAATGGCGTTTAATCAACGTGCTAGATCTATTACTCAACGTATACATATTGCCTCAAACCTATGAATATTTACATACCTCATAGCAGTCAAGATTAAGCATAACAAGTGTCACGTTTTGCCAATATCACTGGCATTTAAAAAAATGCAAATAACTTTCACAATTGCACTTTCCTTTCTTTAAAACTTTCACGCATCCACTAAAACTATTCTTACCTTACTACCGTACGTAAGAAACTATTCAGTTTATCAAATCAGACTTCACATTTTGTGAATACTTCATATTGTGTAAAGAATGTTACGTAAACTAAACGGAAATGAGATCATGAATTTTGAGATTACCATAATATAATGGAATTCGTAGATTGATTTTTCATTAGTTTTTCCGGGCGCGTCAACTGCAAAGGCCATTAGTCCTCAAAGCGTAAGGCAGGCTTTATCACTGGATTTTGCGGTAATTTTCCCTCGCTGGGATGATGAGATCCAGCGCAAACATAACGACGGTTAGGGGGTTCTTTCCCAAACCAGGTATTTCCCAGCACCGCCTCAGCCACGACAAACGCTAAGCTTTCGACCGACCTTCCAACAAGATTGATAGGTTAGTGCATGTAAGTGTGATTGTGTGCAAGCAAGTGGGTGATGATAGAACAAATTAGGGGAAAAAAGATCGCGCGCGATCCGTGGCTGGTTTGTTGGAGCATTACTTCGGCATTCGTCTCTGTTAATCCGCGAAAATGAAAAAAAACTAGACCAGACCAGCCGGCCACTAGAATCCTTCCCCAGACAACGGCGGAACTCCCAGCTAAATAGTATCGAAAATCCTGTCAGGGTCAAACTCTAGGACTTTCGGGAGTCGAACTCTAGGACCTCTCGGTCAGAGGTACTGAAGTGGCATCAGTCAATGTCCTGAGCCACCTAATCCGGTGGCAAGACGTAGAGACCGGGAAAGATGGATCATGGTATCAACTGATGTCACTGCAGGGCCTTTGACAGGGAGGTCGTAGGTTCGACATTCACACTTACTTGCACTACACTACCGCACACCAGGGAGACCGCTCGGGAGCTTAGAACTTCTCCAGGCAGGTGGCCCACTGGCGGGAGATACCTGATTGGGTAAAATCCCACTGGCCGACGTGTAGGCCGGTGCTGAATCTCCCCATTCAGAGGGGGAAGATCACCGTCACTTTCCGAGGAAAAACATGCACTATACTTACGTGGATAATGACTTTTGATGCGCCCGGAATCACTAACTAATTAAGAAAGCAAAACAGAAATTGGGACCAACACATATGCGTACAGAGGTATTTCAACTTTGGAGATTTGGAGAAACAAATATATTTCTCTCACTATATATTAGCTCTTCATTATTACATCTCTATTACTACTGAAGTAAATACACAAGATATATTTTATCTTTTTTCATCTATTTTATGGGTGTTATTTTTTGCTGTAACAAGATACCGAATATTTTTTATTTTCCCGTTTGGTAGTTTTTAAACATTTTTTTTATCGTAGATCAAAACAATAAATATATTTATATCAGATTGCTAATGACTATTGCATAAAAGTTTAAACCGAAATTATTAATATTACAGACAACAACCTGTGAAAGTAAGTGACGTTAATAACCAACAATATGGTTTTAAAAGCTTTGCAATAAGTTTGCATTTTTTAATGCGAATTCTAAAGAAAATTTCTACAAACGCTAAAGGATTAGAGCATCTTTCGCTGTTTAGCTCATGGAATACGGAGTGACACGTATAGAAAGTCGCACCGGAAAAATCTAGATAGAATACAGAGGAAAGCGAATAAGTTCCCAAATAGATGTAACTCAATAAAAAAGTTACAGGAACCTCTAGAAACGAGAAGAATAAGGGAGAGGCTTTGTGCACTTTAGAAATTGTACGTAGGTATACAAGCTGGGAAGGAAATTCATGTTAGACTAGAAAAAACAAATTATTTCGGTCGAAGTGATCACTCCCACAAAATTCGTACAAGGAAACAAAATTCAGATCTCGGTAAATGTTCTTTTTGTAACAGAGCAATTAGACGTTGTAACAGTTTACACGCATCAACATTCAAAGCCTTTCCTCTAAGTGTCCGAATTTTTAGTAGTAAGTTAGAACAAGCTGAAAGTAATCGATGTTAAATGCGTAAGTGCTGTAAAGTGCGGTAAAGTACAGTGAAGTGTGGTCAGTGTAATTCAAAGTAAAACAGTGCAGTGTAGTCTTCTTTAA